TCAAACAGCGCGCACTTGAGTGATATAACTTCTTCTTTTTTCAGTCACTCGAGTGTCATAACTTATGTACGACACTCGATTGAGTGCCCTAACTTTTTTTCTAATCACTTTGAGTGCCACGTAACTTTTCAATTAATCACTTGAGTACTATAACTATTTTAAAAGTTACCACAAGTCCCATGCCTCGTAGATTTTTGGCACTTGGGTGAATGATTTTTAAAAAGTTATGACACTTAAGTGATCAATTGAAAATAATGATACTCACGTGAACCTTTTTATAGAAATAATTTGCACTCAAGTGGTTGAAAAAAAGTTGTGGCATTCAAGTTAACACTGTATGAAAGTTATGATGTCTTTATTCCCAATAGAATGATAATATGACCTTGATAACGATAAACAAATAGTGATGGATTAACAGTGCTGCAAAAGAATCTATATTAAAAAAAGAAGGTCGTTGAACTTGTCAAACCATGCCTTGGAGCTTGTTTGAACCCACATAACACACGTCGGTGTAAGCCAATATTATCAGGACGAGATAAATCATGAAAGCTAGGTGATTGATTGTTCCATGTAGATATAAATATCGAGATCGCCGTGTAAGATGGTGTTCTTAGCAGCTAATTGGCTAATTTCCCAGTTCTAAATAGTAGCAGTGAAAAGAACAATGCGAATGGTGGCTTATTTAACTACCAGACTAAAAGATTCTATGAAATCAATGCCCTCATCTTAATGGAATCATTTTACAACAGGTCGGGCTTTTAGTTGGTCAAGTGAACCATCTCTATTACATCCAACCACATTCATCAAGGGATAATGGGGGAATGAGCGTGGCTCGAGAGGGATAGGTGATATTGCTAGATTGGCATACTTTGGATTTAAATTCTAGATTCCAGTCTTTGAACGGGTAATCATGGGATACATTAAGGATCTGGAAGCTTCAGGTTGAGATTGAACTAAAGTTCACTCTCCACTAGTTAGGGCACGTGATTAGAGAGAATAATAGATGAAGCATTTGAGTCCGGTTCTATCTTAGCAAATAGACATGCATGCTCATGTGAAAAGTCAAGATTTGTTGGTGAACAACCATTATGAACAATTTCTAGACTAGATTGTAGCATGTTCCAATGATCACCAACAATTTTTGTTTGTGATGGACTTAAAGTTAAATTCCATTGCAATAGCTTCCTCTCAACTGTAGCCGTTGACTCCTAAATTTTGACTAACCATTTAGACATTAATTGCATAGGAAGTTAGAGATTTATCTTTAGCCCATAAACAAGATAATATATAAAAATTGCACAGCATATAGTCATTAGTAGCGTAATTTATCAATTGCATTTTGCATTCGACCAGTGATGGTGAACGAATATAGATAGATCACATGGGTTGGCTTGGCATACAAGCAAAATTCGGCCAAGGCAAGGAGGTGTGAGGGCCAAAAATTTCAAGCCTAATGGACCAAGTTTTGAGATTGGGTTTAGCCCACAAAGTTATAATGCTTTGAGTTTAATTAGAATAAGCCCCAAAATGGGTTTTCACCATATCCCAAAAATACAAACGACAAATAACACTTGTCAAATTTGTTCTTTTTATAGTTGTGTAAATATTGACAACAATGGGAGCCAAACACTCGGAGTAATGAATAGTCTTGAATCAAAATTGAGTATGGGCCTCGGTTGCTTAGAGCAATGGATGGAAGCCAATTTATCAAATCATTCGTTGTTGTTGTAAACATTGCCACCAAATAGTTGAGTGACATAGAGGCCCCAAATAATGTAGCAAGCCCGAGTTTAACAATGTATCGATGTTTCTTCTCACTAACCCCGTTTTGCTCTAGTGTACCTGGACAAGAGAGTTGCTTGTCGCATTCATTAAGATGTGTGAGAAAACTATTGCTCATGAATTCACCTCCTTTATCCGATTGAAAGTTTTTAATTTTTCTAACAATCCGATTTTCTACTAATCTACGACAAGATAGGAAAATGTCAAAGAAATCCGACTTTCGCTTCGATGAATACAACCAACAGTAATAGGAGAAATAATCAGTAAGCACAACATAATCTTGAAATGTTTGCACAAAAGGACCTGGGCTCGGTCCCAAATTTTCGGATGGCCTAATTGGCGATGCCACGTAAATTCATCCACAACCTTGTTTCTTAGAAGAGAGATAGATGTGTGTACCATCAATCGTTGATGGCTGAGCGAAGACATAATTGGAAGAGGGATGCGAGGCGTTCGAATATGTCTGAACAACGTGACTTTCGTGTGCATGTCACCGTGTTTTGGACCATCGGCAATAACGTGATGACATTTGCTTCACGGGGCATCGAAGTTTCTTAGATGCAGATCAGGCACGGCGGAGAAGTCGGAAAATTTAACGGCGAGCCTCGGAAGCGATGGATAGAAGAAATTTCGGAAGAGTTACCGCGAGAGGGCGAGGTAACTTTCGGGAAGGGTAGGAAAAATGAGAGAGGCCAACGTACTACGTAAGGGAATTGGACGAAGACGAGGTAACCTTATCAGTTCGGTTCATATCGGATCGGATTGGATCGGGTCAGTTTGGGTATATGGCACCCCCTAGTTTTACTGCAAACCCACCCACAACTTACGCTTTGGATCGAGACTACTAGAAGAAGTTCTTCAAGTTCGTAAAGTTCCCGGTGGATATGCTTTGAATGCGCCTAGTAAATGTATCGACCTGGATGAAAAGATAGTTGGGTCGATTCGAAATCGCGTGATTGCCACATGACCCACGTGACAATGTATATGTGCAAATTTTTGGATTTCTTATGCTTTACTTTCTTTTGCGAGCAAAAAAGTAGACACCAAAATCCTGGGCCATCGGTTCCGCGCTCCCTCAATATACTAAGGGTTAATACCACGAAAAACCCTAAACTGGTACACTTGTGACACATTTATCCCAAACTATTTTTTTGACCATAAAAACCCCAAATCCAGATACCGTGACAATTTTACCCCGAACATACCACAAAAACCCCAAACCGATACACATGTGACAATTTTACCCCAACTAATTTTTAATATTATTTTTTCATTTTTTTATTTTTTGAATTTTTCTTTTTTTCTTTTCTTTTTTTTTCCTTCACTTCAACCTCGGCCGGTCGCCGGTCCGGCGACCGCCAGGCGGAAGCCGGCGAGGCCGCCTCAGTAGCCGGCGAGGCCGCCCTCGCTCGACTCGGCAAGGGCGACCCTCGCCGGATCTAGCGAGGGCGGCCCTCGCCGGCGTCGGCGAGGACGGCCTCGCCGACGCACGGCGAGGGCAACCCTCGCTCGACGCAGCGAGGTCGCCGCTCGCCGCCGGCGAGGGCAACCTCGCTCGACGCAGCGAGGGTCGCCGCTCGACGCCGGCGAGGGCAACCCTCGCTCGACGCAGCGAGGTCGCCGCCGGAGCCGGCGAGGGCAACCTCGCTCGACGCAGCGAGGGTCGCCGCTGATCTCGGCGAGGGTAGCCTCGCCGATACCGGCGAGGGTCGCCTCGCCCGAGTCGAGCGAGGATCGCCCTGCCTCGGGCGGACGAGGATGCCCTCGCCGGCCGGCGAGGGCGGCCATCGCCGCGCAGCAGCGAGCGGCGCCTCGCCGTACAGCGGTCGCCTCGCGGATATGGCGAGGACGGCCTCGCCCGACGCCGGCGAGGGCGGCCTCGCCGACGCGGCGAGGCGGCCACGCGCGGCTTCCGCACTTGCGATCGTCACGGGCCGGCGACAGGCCAAAGGTTGAAGATAAAGAAAAAAAATAAAAGGAAAAAAATAAATAAAAATTCGAAAAATGATATTAAAATTTTAATTCGGGTAAAATTGTCACATATGTACTCGGTTGCAGTTTTTGTAAGTTCAGTGGTAAAATTGTCACGACATGTACTAAGGGTTTTGATGGTCAAAAAAATAGTTCGGGTAAAATTGTCACGAGATGTCTCAGGTTTTGGGGTTTTTATGGTCAAAAAAATAGTTTGGGGTAAATGTGTCACAAGTGTACCAGTTTAGGGTTTTTCGTGGTATTAACCCATATACTAATCTGCCGTCGTCATGATGTCGTATCTAAGTGCATTTTTTGCCATGTACGGAATATAAAATCTTATGAATAATTTAGAGGTTTTCAATAAACGAAAGAGATTTGTTCCTTTTATAATTACGAATGTATTTTCAATCTTCAATTTAATTGTTTTAGAACACAAATATCCAAAAGAGAAATGATAAAGCTTATCTCCGGTTTCGAAGCCAGCCCTTCTTTTCTACTGAACATCTTTATTTGAGAAATAGAAAATTAGAAAAATTGAAAATAGGGTTAATACCACAAAAAATTCTAAATCGGTACATTTATAACAAATTTACCCAAAATTAATTTTTTGACCATGAAAAATCCCAAACTGGTACATTTATGACAAATTTACCCCGAATTAATTTTTTGACAAAAAAAATCATAAATTGGTATACCAATGACAAATTTACCAAAAACTAATTTTTTAACCACGAAAAACCCCAAACTGGTACACTCGTAACAAATTTACCCTAAACTAATTTTTTGACCACAAAAAACCCACATGTGACAAATTTACCCAAATTGGTAATATTGTGACAAATTTACCCTTTATTAGCGGACCAATTTGAGGTTTTTCGTGCTATTTGCCCCATGGATTTACACATGGACCATACCACGACACCATGTGTCATCCACATCAACAAATTTAACGGTAAAATTTGATGGAAGTTAACGGAGAGTAAATTTGTCATAAGTGCACCAGTTTGAGATAAATTTGTTACAGGTGTACTAATTTGGGATTTTTTGTGATTAGAAAATTAAGTTTTGGTAAATTTATTACGGATATACTAGATTGAGATTTTTCGTGGTAAAAAAATTAGTTTTGAGTAAATTCATCACAAGTTTGTCAGTTTGGGGTTTTTTATGATATTAACCCTTAAAAAATAAAATTTTAAAAATATATATAAAAAAGAAAAAGAAAAAAGCGCCCCGACCCCCCCTCGATCCGACGAGCAACCCTCAAAGTTCAGCTCAAACTACGACCGCAAACCCCCACCCACCAACCGCCGCCGCCGTCGCCGCCGCCGCCGCCGCGATGCCCATCTTCAAGACCCCCTTCAATGGCTACTCCGTCAAGTTCAGCCCCTTCTACGAGGACCGCCTCGCCGTCGCCACCGCCCAGAACTTCGGCATCCTCGGCAACGGCCGCCTCCACGTCCTCTCCCTGCCGCCCTCCCCCGCCGCCCCGATCTCCGAGATCGCCTCCTTCGACACCGCCGACGGCGTCTACGACCTCGCCTGGTCCGAGTCCCACGACTCCCTCCTCGTCGCCGCCGTCGCCGACGGCTCCGTCAAGCTCTACGACACCGCCCTCCCGGCCGCCGGCAACCCCCTCCGCTCCCTCCGCGAGCACACGCGCGAGGTCCAGAGCGTGGACTACAACCCCACCCGCCGCGACTCCTTCCTCTCCGCCGCCTGGGACGACACCGTCAAGCTCTGGACCGTCGACCGCCCCGCCAGCGTCCGCACCTTCAAGGAGCACGCCTACTGCGTCTACTCCGCCGCCTGGAACCCCCGCCACGCCGACGTCTTCGCCTCCGCCTCCGGCGACTGCACCGTCCGCGTCTGGGACGTCCGCGAGCCCGGCTCCACCATGATCATCCCCGCCCACGAGTTCGAGATCCTCTCCCTCGACTGGAACAAGTACGACGACTGCGTCGTGATCGCCACGGGCTCGGTCGACAAGAGCATTCGGATTTGGGATGTGAGGAATTACCGGGTCCCTGTGGCCGTGCTCAACGGGCACGGGTACGCCGTGAGGAAGGTGAGGTTCTCGCCGCACAGGGGGAGCTTGATGGCGTCGTGCTCCTACGACATGACGGTGTGCTTGTGGGATTACATGGTGGAGGATTCGCTCGTGGGGAGGTATGATCATCACACGGAATTCGCTGTGGGCGTCGACATGAGCGTGCTTGTCGAAGGGCTTGTCGCTAGTACAGGTTGGGATGAGCTTGTTTATGTTTGGCAACATGGGACTGATCCTAGAGCTCCTTGAATTAGGATAAAAATTTCATTTTTTTGGGTCGTCCCCTCATTGAGCTGTATCAACTTGGGATCAGGATTCTGAATGGCCAAATTTGAAAGTGTAATTGTCGTTCTACGGTTGATCTTGGTAAATGACTCGCAAATAAATAGACTTTAAATTAGACTCAATAAAGCAGGGAAAATTTCTATTTGCATTCTCAGAATGATGAGTCTGCACTTGTTTTGTTCACCTTGTATGGTATAGCATCAATGACGGTTCTCCTGTGTTTTATTGCTGCGATTGTTTAAACTCAGCTTTCTAGTCTTATTATAAGGATCTAGTTGCTGTTGCTGTAGTGAAATTTGTGTCTCGATTATGAATTTTCTGCGTTGCCTGGTTTGATCAAGGAAAGACCATGTAGCTGCCCCTTCTTGTCATGCGAGGATGAGGTTGACCTATAATATTATGAGTTCCTTTGTTTGGTTAGTGCAGCATTCTTTGATACTTCTTACTTTATGGTCACTCTTTCTAACTTGTATATCACCTGTTCCGGGCATGGGAATTCCAACTTCTTTGACAAAATATTCTGGTGCTTGTCTCAAAACATCGTTTCTTTGTTAATTGTGTTTTTTGAGCATTTCAAATGATATGAAAGTGTCAATTTAATGTCTCTCTCTGACGTGTCTAGTTGGGTTACTTACTATTCTCTGATCTTCTTATGGACAAAATGGGCACTTTAACATAAAATGATGTACTTACATTGAGTGCAACTATTGGCCGAAAGTTCATGTTGTCATTGAGTTTGGTTATAGCTTTGCTCAGTAACTCTGCCAAAGACAGTCATTGATAAAAACTGATATATAGAAACTTTTGGCAATATGAATCTGTTGTTGATAAGTATGGGAGATCCAGCAAAAATAGTTTTTCTGAACTGATCTCTCATAAATATTTGAAGATAGAAATTGTTCATAGTTATCTTCTAAAGCTGAAGTGATCTAAATGCAAGATTCTCAGGATACTGTGTGTTTTTCGAATTTTAGTTTTTTTCTCTTTCTTTCTTTTTTGGTGAATGTCTTATCTACATGCTTGTCAGCGCTTTTTGCTGGGCTCTGTCCCCAGCTTTGGTCTTTTAATTCTCCTAGAAAAGCACAGCCTTACGAGGACTGTGATCCCCATGTATGTCTAATGCTGGTCCCCAAGTAAGGCGATTCTCTTTTTTGATTTTAGTTGCTAAGTCCAGGATGATGTTTAGGATCTCTTCTTTATTCATGGCAGAACACTGGCTTTAATGGAATCGCCTCCTTAATCTTTTGTAATATTTTGCGTGGAAATTTCTGTGGTGTTGCGGGATTGGTAGTATGCTTCCATGCATTCTTTGTTCTTATGAGTTCATTGTTGGCTAATCTTCATAGAAATGAAGGATGCATTGTCATAGTTGTGGCTGCCTTACCCTGGAGCTTGATTTTTTAATCGATCTCTTGCTTTTGCATATAAATGGCTTTTCATCAGTTAGTTTCCATCTAGGAGGTGAGGTCTTTCAATTGCTAGCAAAGAATATTACCATTGTATGCTCCTGGTTCGAGTTATAAAGAGTTTTACATTATCTAGCTGGGAAATGGTATTTGGATCTGAGTGCCAGCCGGAGTTTGATCCTGTCTTGCTTGTTCAATATGACTGTGTTATTATTGGATTACATGGTGGGGGATTTGCTTGTGGGGAGGGCATAACCAACGGATGGGATGGTGGTTGGCCTTGACATGGGTGCACTTGTCAAAGGGCTTCTTGTGAGTACTGGTTGGGATGAGCTTGTTTATGTTTGGCAAATTGGGACTGATCCTAGAGCACCTTAAACTGGAGGTTTTTTTTTTTTTACCTTGTGTGTACCCTCTTTGAGCTGATTTTGCTGTGGTTGTTTAGGTACTTGGAAGCGGGATTTTGAATGGTCCATGTCAAAAGTGTAATACGCATATGATTGTGCTTTGGCTTCTTCAGTCCAGCGATGTGGGTATCTGTATTGCTTGTTTCGCTATTGATCTTGATTAATAAGAATAATTTACGAACAAGTAGACTGTATATTTAAATTGAGAAAATAGCGAAAATCTTTGTTGGAAATTGCATATCATGATTAATTATCTGCATATCGAATTCATTGTAAATTGTGTAGCAGTAAATAGCAGTTGTCCTGTTTTCATTTGCTACGGTGTTTAAACTAATTGGTACAGTCTTCTAATGTGAATAAAAGTGCGATGGCAATAGTTAAAGTAATGTCTGTTCCATGGAGTTTTTGTCGGTTTTAACAAAAGAATGCCTTTTAACTGTTTATTCTTCTGACCAAAAAAAAAGAAAAAGAAAACTGTTTATTCTTCTTGCAATGAGAGTAAACTCAAGTTTCAGTTGACCAGTTCTTTTGTTTGGTTGTGCAACAATCTTTTTGCTCTTACTTAAATTCACTGTCACTGTTTTCCACCACGGAGTAACAAAAGCTATTTCTGTGGCTTTTCATAGGTTCGTTTCTGTCTTATTAGTGCAAGTCTTTCACTCGCTAGCTAAGAACAATACTATTGAGATGGTCCAGGTAATTGAAATCTAGAAGGTTCTCTCTTAATCAAGCTGCGTAATGGTATCAGTATTTGAAAGTCGGTCAAAGTTTTAATGTTGGGCTTACTTTAGCAGCATGTGATGAAGTGATGCGAATGAAGCTGTGAACTAAATCAAGTTAACAAGTTACATCTAGTCAGGTCGCAAGTTTGGTTTAGATGTGAATAATGTGTGGTTAGGTAGCTGTGATTATTGGTGCTTTTCGTACAGTGGTATACACATGCATTTTTTAGCTCCTGAAGAACTGTAATTGCTTATCAGGTTTTTGATGATTCTATAGGGCTTTATTCAGGATCTTTCTGACTTTTAAGATTAGCGAAGCTGGAGTCTTTTCCTGATCTTTTGTTCTTTATCTTTTTTGTTCTTTACTGTCAATTGTCTCCATATTGGGTCAGTCGAGAATTGTTTTGAGGTTTCTAATAATGTAAATCACACACTGAGTGGAGGTCGACGAGTGATTTATGTAGGTATTTTCATATCAAATCGATGGCCTGGTATTCAACATGGAGTCAGAGTCATTTCTTCATCTCTATATTTAAAGATATTCCAATTTTTCCGAGCCAGTATTCTCTTGTTATGTTCTACATCCCAGAAACCCCCTTCACTGCAGCTCCCTTGCTCTGTCCTTCTGTAGTTGATGTCTACTCTTAGTCTCAGTTTTTCTATCATTTGCTCTTTGACATATCTCCTTGTCAAATCCTAACTGAGCTTATGTTTTGAACTGTGTAAGGCTGATTCTATTCCTGCATTCCAAACTCCTCTTAACCTACAATCCTTCTTCAAATCAAACTGTGATGGATTATGTTGTCATATACTGTTACTTTCGTTTTACTATTGTGTCCAAAGCATAAAGCATATGATCAAGTTTAAATGACCTTGGCAGCTGGTTAAACCCTTTTTTACCTGCCATAGAATATTTAATCTTCTTTTTCCCTCATATTGAGTTCCTGTCAAGATTTGCTTCTTTGTGTTTTGCTGCTCTATCTAGTTTTGTGTATATGTTATACTTTCCTGTGAACTGCATTTGACACCGTTGATATAACTGCTCGCTTAAGAATGTCACTGAAGATCTGCAGTTTGAGGTCTGATGGAAGGGGAATACTGCAGAGGCATTAGCAAGTGTGAGAGTTAAAAAATTCGATTCCTTGGGGGAGATCAACTGCTGAGTTTCTTCAATATCTCACTCTCCTTGCTTTCTTGCTTAAGGTTTGTGTCTACAGGGTCAAATCTTAAGAGGGCCTCACTGTGACTGGTGTATAGTATATACTGTCAAGAGACTTTTTGGTGCCTAATACTGTGAGGAGATTCTCATCTCAGGAAAAATTTCAACCGATTTGTTTGTCTTTAACCCACAGGAAATGGTATTTTAACTCAGGCTTTTGTTCGTGACATATGGTTGCAGGTTTGTGGATAAGGACATTCATCTACTGGTCTTGAAGTATGTGGTCCAGAAGATGCATACTTTGCCATATGAAAGCAACAAAAGATACTTGGTCAGTTTTGTCCCTGTGAAGTAATTAGGTTCCTCTTGGTTATTTTTTTAATAGTCGAAATCGCATTGCACTTGTTTTCGCTTACCAAAGTCAAATTGTTGATTTGCCCCAAAGAATTGATTTTCGCTAGAATTGTTAGCTGAAATAATTGGAAGGATTCTGTTAATAAGTCTGAGTATATTCAGTGAATAACCTTTTGCAGGAAATGCATCTCGAAATTATGCTGATCACACTGTTTGAGAACGTTTTGAGATGCATGCTTAGGGTGCCTTGCCTGCTTTGATGAATCATATGAACGTCCAATGTTGATCAAGAATTACGCAGGAAACTTGAGATTTCTGATATTTCCCGTCATTTTCCATTGTATGATGAGCAATGAAGGTAGCAATTCGCAGGAAACTGCTTTGAGGTAATCTAATAAGCGTTCGTATGTTTAGCTCCAAGTCTGAAACGTTCTTACTCAGAATCTCAGTGCTTGAGATGCAATCTGATTGTCCGTTTCAATGTTTTAGCAGACGTATTTGTTCTTCTTTTTTTCCCCAATAAACCGTAGATTTATGTACTATGTGATGTTAATGTGAATTGGTGGGAATACGAGTGTTCTATTTGTATCTCTCTCTCTTTGCTAGCTAGTGATGTCTCACTCCAACATCGAAACGAGACCAGCCAGCCACATCTGGTTGCAGGAATAACTGAGATGAATTCGCACATCTCTCTGTCAGGAAGATTTGCGGGGTCTGATGACCCGATCATCGTCCTCCAATTGCTGGAAATACCATTCAAACTATGAGCCAATTTTTGGTCTCTCTCTGTAATAGACTAAAGCTGTATCAGTAACTCCTTTCTGCAGAAAATGGATAAGTAAAAGAGAACAAAGAAAATATGAGGGTTAAACCCTTTTTTCTTTTGGGGGTCCTAACCACTCATTCAAATCTTTCAACCCCGCAGAACATGAATGCTCTGCCCTAGTTGCTGAAGCAGTCGTTGCAATGAATTGAGCACTTTTCTTTCTCTGTTGTGCAGTTGCCCGAACGTTTTCTACATTCCCGGTCCTGATGATTGTTAATTCTTAGCTTTGCCTGAAAAGCTCATATCGGTAGTATAATCAAGGGTGCAATTG